TTTAAAAAGTCTTGAGACATTGTATTTAATTTAGTCTTTGCTCCGTCATCCAGTTGAATGGTTCAAATCCATCTGTTCTCTTGTGTGTTATTTTCTTTACTTTGGAGAGCAGGAAATCAATACACAGCATTAAGTAATATCCTTGGTTTATCGACTTGTACCTTGACTAACTAGTGTGCATGATACCTTTACCCATGAACAATAAAACACACATCAACAACTGTCACAATCAATGGGAGACTAATAAGATTTGTGCTCATAGTATCCCATCTTACAGCAAATAACATGAGCCTCAGCTTCAAGAGACAAAACATAAGCAGGTATTTATTCTAATTTAGTTGATTCTGGAGGGCAATATTTTTTAAATTGTTTTTAATGGAAATAACTTCCTATTATTTATAAACAGGAATTTTTTGTATTAATGCATAGATTAAAATCCAAAGGCATTGCCTCCAGATAGAAAAGGCTATCAATCAGATCAGATACAAGTATAAATGCACCAGTAGGTAGAAAGCAGAATGATAGGAATTCTGAAAGTAAGACTACAAGCTATCTGGAGCTAAGTTTCTAATATGCAGAACACGGTAAGACTGATAATGCTTGCAAAAATGATGAAAGTCAGCATTACAATTAGTAATCTTGAGCAAAGAAGTAAAAACTTAAAAACTTATGCTGTGAATGGAAGAGTTTTGTATTACTGTTTTTCAGTTATTTTTTACCTAGAATTTTCACTGCCAGCTCTGCTGTAAATACTATAAAGCAAATGCAACTTTAGGCTACTGTAAATCTTTCAATTAGCTTACTTCAAGTCACCCTGAATAAAAGAACGTCACCATTCGTCTGGGCCTTCTGTACTGGACTCAGCATTCTCACACACTGAACTGACATGCAGTGCATGTGTTATATCAGAGTAGTTTGCATCGTATGCTTTGTTAACGGCAGAATGAGGAAGATGCTTCCTAACTCTTTACTATCAGTGCAAATTAATAGGATGTTACCAGCACTTAACATAGATATGAAAGAGAACAGTCATGCACCCCTATCAAACCACCTGCTCCCACCTGCAGTAGATTAAATATGCCCTTGGACCAACTGCCTGTCCAAAACAGAGACAATGTCCTGCACCCACATCAATTAGTTTGGGTCTCACATGATCCCAATCCAGCTGTTGAGATCTACTGAGATCTGCCCCTCTCCTCTAACTGAATAACAGACTACAGTGCTGGAAAATAAAACAGCAGATGTCTAGATTATTTCATTTTACTGTAAAGTCTAAAATGACTGAAAAACGTACTTGCGTTTAAGTGAACACAATCAGCTCTGCTGTCTTTTATGTGCCAGTAAACACCTAAATATCTGTAAATGGACTGCACAGATACATAGGTGTTGATGCCTATAACAACAGGTTAAAATAAAAATATGATATTCTTTTGTTGTTTTTTGCTGTTTGTAAAACAATTCACAAAAACAACAAAAGTATATAAATTTGAAGAATATAACTTACAACTGATTGTATAGCACCCTTCATGAAGTCAGTACCTTTAGACTGTAACAATGGAACACTTGATAAGTGATCTTGAAGTTGTGAAATTGATTCCAGACAGTACACCATCAGGGAAGCTTTAAACAAAAACTGCACCAGAATTCCTCCTTGGTGATTTCATGTACACTCCTTCACTTTACAGAGAAAAGTAAGTGAAAGGCCTTATTTGTAAAATATGATTTAGACATACATAAGAACTGTATTAATGAATACATTTAATAGCCTATTACAACAAACAGATGTAACTAAAGTGACCTCAAATAAAAAAAAACATTTATGTGATCAATGTTTTGTTATAGCATAAATGATAGATGAGTATGAGGGAGTTCTTGAAAATGGTTTTACTGGGCATGCAGGTTCCTGATGGTGACTGGTACTTCTGACAGAAACAAAAAGGCATTCAAACAAATGATAAAACTAGTAAAATATGAATATATGAATAAATATTGTTCACAATCAAAATATTTGCATCTATAACTGTATCTCTAAGTGTTAGGGATTCTCATGATGCATCATCCTTCTCCACTTCCAGAAATCAAGTATAATAACCACAACATTTACAGTAGTATTAGGCATAACAGGGATTAAAACAAAGGCAAAACTTAATAACGATACTGCCTTTATAAGAGCAATTCTTCATTTTAAATTAAGCAAATTTGCTACTTCAGTGTCTTAAGGTATTTGAAAAATGTCCTATCATACCTCTGAACCATTCATAAAATCTTTGAAATGCTTTAATGGTACTTCTTTGCAGTCCTTTGATGCCCAGTATAAAGAATCTGAATTCAAGGCTTTTGCCTATATTCTGTCTTATAAAGGGCAACTAAACAGTCACTCTGACAATTCAACTGTTGTGGAAAAACATCATTGTTAATGGGTATTTTGATTCTAGGTCTATTGCTAGAGGGCACACAACAGCTAATGCACCAGCCAATATAAGGCTCAAGTAGGGGCTTTCAGCATCTCGAAAATATAGATAAATAGGTCCATCAAAAAATTGTATTTTTGCCAGTAGATCTTTATTTTTGCCTTTATTTCTAGCAGACCGTGATCAATACAAGACCTGATTAATTCTGGGGAAAACTGCAAAGAGCGTTAAGAACAGTAGGAATATCTATGTATACGTTAGGGAAACATCCCCATGCATAACAGTCCTGGGTTAAGAAAATCAAGTTCATTCATTGATACCTGATCACACACTAAAATAAAAAGTTTAATAAGGTTTCAAATATTTCCATCTGTCTGTTGGAAAACTATTGTCTCTTGTTTTGTCACATAAAAAATGTAAAATTCACAATTCTGCTTAACATTGCCATTTATACAGTATGATGCTCTCATTTATAAAAATCTTTTCACAAGAGTTGCTGCTGTAGATATAAATGCATTATCATGACTTAACACTAGAGTTCACATTTTTATGGGCAAAGGAATCTTATTGAAATACAAAAGAAGAGAATATACATAAATTCAACAAATTTAAAAAACAGAACCCTTCTAAAAACATAATATTGCAAAGAACACCTTTGGATTTTACTGCAAACATCTCATGAGTAAGTTGATACCAATCTCAGCTGCACATATTTTTGAAATTCTGCCATATATTAGAAGTATATATATTTTAAGTTTGTCTTTGTCATTTCCCACAGTGTAACTTTTTACATAGAATAGTTATTCTTATTTCTCGTCAGACACCAACGATAATATTTCAGCAGTGTTAAGGTCAGAAGATTGGGAAAACCTTTATAGCTTATTTCTGATGCAAGTAAATGAGACTCGGTGTGCATGCATGCTCAGACTCTGAGGTCAATGAAGACTGGGATGCTCTTGTATGAGTGATACGTTTGTTAAATACCTCAAAAGTGTTAGTTAAGTTTTCTTGAACTAAACAGTTCATGGTTTCATCTGTAATGTTGCCCATTTATTTGCTTGAGATGTTATAGCATTATGTGTCACGGGTTCCTAGAACACAAAAAGCTCAGTGTGAAATATGCTTATGCAAGATATCTATTGAGATTCAAAAAACATTGATTTCAGATATTCTTGCATAACAGGAAAGAAAATACAGTTTGTAGCTGTCATTAAAATGACAAGCTAAAAACAAATTAGATCAATGTGCATTGTTTATCCTCATGGCACCTAATTAAATAAAACTGTGTCAGATATAAGAACATGACTGTGTCAACGTTGCTGTCAAACAGCAGATCGATAAAAACACAAAAGAGTGGAACGTTTTTGCCCAACTCCATTGATCTCTTTGCTTCTAAACAGGCCACTGCAAGCTTACATTCTCTTTTATGATACATTTGTGTTATTACAGAGCACAACAAATCCACAATAAAATCTAAATATTCCATGGTGTTTAAAATTACAAATTGTTATTTGCTCTTGTATTTGCTTGTAAGACATTCTATTATGCCCATTATATTCTGGTCATTACAGGATGAAAAACAAAAAACCCTACAGTACCTCCTCCTTAAACAAAGTACAGACCACTCTTTTCCCTGTAAGATGGGATATTAAGCAAAATGATTTTTTACTTATCCAAGTAATGATTTTCTTTAAGAAATGTAACAGCAAGTCTACACAATTACTGCCAAATATTTCATAATTCTGTTCTAAAGACATCATTAATAATATATATTTAGGTAGACTGTGATTCTGTGGCTGACAGTGCTCTGCTTTATTTTCAGGTTATTTTATGTCATGTGAGAGATCTCTTTAAACTTACCTATCTGTTCCCTTCTGTGTTTCTTAGTCAACTCAATTTAAACTCTGCTAATTATCAAACAAGGTAATACTTTTTTCACTTATCAACTCAACCACTGAGTGGTTTGCCTCATCAATCCCTCAAGCACAGTTTACAGATGACATTGATCTCTAAAACCAGAGCCCATTTACTGTAATTCCTTTAATGTCTTTGTATCAGAGCACACATGCAAATAAGCATTTCATTGCACTTGTGCATTTGACAAATAACCTGAACTGAACCAAACCATTTTTCTCATTTTGGCACTGCAATTCACCAGCTAATATGCATCTGCTGTATGTTTCACTTATTTTCACTAGACAACATGACTATTATTTCTATATAAAAGAATGGGGATTCATGTGTTATACGATAATACCATCTACAATACTTAAAATAATTACCAATATTAATAAAACATCTTTGATCCAAAGGGCAATGGAAATGTGCTGAACTGGGATTTAGGAAAGATAACAGAATTGTAAATTACCATTAAAAAGGTAGGTAAATGCAGAATATAGTTGATACTTAAGCAAATACATTTATGTTATTAAAATATACATTTACGCATGCACATGAGGTATGACCTCTCCGTAATTACTTTTATGAATTTTATGTCTTTCCAGTAAGAAATCAGAAAATAAACCATAAGCAAATCCAAAAATTAAATGATACCTAGAAAAGTAAAGGATTTTAGTGGCAACTGTTTACCTGGTATGTGTCCCAAAGCCTTATGGTGCACCTCAGCGGAAGTTCCCTCATCAGAAGATTATTCATCCAGCGGAAAGCAAACTGCAAGTACTCTACCTCATATTGCTGCAAGTGCCTGTGCACATGTTCTGCAAAATAAAAAATAAACTAGATTAATATATTGCAAAACTTGTGTTTTTTGCACACTAAAACTGAGGTTATTGCATCCCTAATGATCACCTAAACAGTGTGATTATCAGACAGAAAAGCACAGCATAAAGATTAATTTCATTAACACTGAATAAGTACTGATGATCTGAAAATGGCAATTCTGTATAGTACAGTGCATCTCAATGCAGATCCTCATGATTTCAGTGTCTGCTAACTCTTGAATGTTTAACTGTTCTACTTTTCTAACCAATAATTTACTAATCAGTTATTTTTAGTAGAAGAAAATCCAATGTATAATCTTATTTGATTTACAGTATTTAAGCAAAAGTTTCATTAATATTAAAGTATTTTAAGTAAAAGAAAGACATCAACTGATGGCACAAGCAATTGATGATCATCTTGGTACTAAGAGAAAATGTGATTACTACAAAATGATATAAACATTTATTAATAACCCAATTCAAATTTATGATAAAAATAATTCAAATAAAAATGGCAAAGACGATATTAGCCACCTTGTATGAAAGTTAATTTCACATAATCTGTTATCTTTTATCGAACAAAATCGTAAATTAATCTGCATCAATCATGAAATTAGCTGATTAGTTCAAGAGCTCTATAAATTTGTAATCCAAGCAAAACAGAAGAATAGCATATGAAATACAAAGCTTTTTATAGTTTAATTAATACACAGGAGGAAAAAATGTAAGTAGATTCATCAGGATTATCCTTTATTTGCATACTTTTTCAAAATTAAGGGTGGTAATTTACCAATAAATTGGGAATGATAAAGGATACTAAAATTCACAACATGAACTGAAGCTATAAACTGCAGCTCATAAATGTTATCTGAAGAAAAGGTTTACATGCATCACATGTTGCTTTCACTAGAAGAACTAAACCCCCATCCAGCTGTGATCCCAAGTGTCTTTTATACAATAGATAAACTGCGCTAGCAGAAATCTGTGCATGCTTCAATTAAAAAAGCAATTTATACATCTCAGACTCAGCAGGTATCACCAAGCAGAACTATAACCCTCACCCAGTTCTATAAAAGAAATAAAGGCTTCTTAAAGGCTGTTTATTATTTTGTAAAATAATCCGGTAACCGTCTTTAGATTCAGGTCCTTTCAAAACAAAACAAATGTAATTTTTTAAAGAATTGGCAACACTCACAAGAAATAAAGTCAGATGGAAGACAAAAGTGTCCAAAATTATTTTAGAATATTCGCCATAATCATCATGGTAAGCAGATCCAAATAGCATCTTTGTATATAGTTTTGTACTATTGAATGTCAGGTTAAATAGCTTTACTGGAATATGCAGAAATATTGCCCCTGTTTAAAAAATGTCCACCTGTTTTGAGTTAAGGGTCAGATTTTGATTTTTGATTTTAGGTACAAATAGGCACAAATCAATACCTGAAGGAAAATACTGTTACTTTGTTAATCATATTTCTGCTATAGTGTCTGCTTCATTTAGCGTTTTCACAGTAAACATTGCATTTTAATTTTATGAATAAACTGTGCAATGTCCAGGCACAATGAGGGGCTTACATATTTGCTAAGCAAGTATGATTACTTACAGTGCATCAGAATTACTAAGAACATGAGCTGAATGGAAAAGTAAAAGAAAGTCTTCTGCCAGATTATTTCTACCTATTTAATAACATGGAACGAAAGGTTTCATGGAAAAGAGGATAAAAAATATGAAGGTAAGAGCAGAGTCAACTACAGTTACTGTACGGTATATAGTTTAAAAAATAGTTGCACTTTTATTTACTGCATTTAGAGTGATGCAAGCTTTTTTGAAAACCAAATAAAAGAAATTAACAAAATTAATCTATGAGCCATTTTAAAATAAATGGCTGCTTAAAATATATTTATATTATCTAATATGAACTGAACTGGAATTCATAATTTGGTCCTATCCAGTTAAATATTTTACAGATCTTTACTATATAGGTCCTTAACACGTTAGTGTAAAAATGTTAAAATATAGTTCAGTTATAGACAAGATGTGGATCCAAGATTTCTTTTAATCCTATTCAGTAGCCTACTGTGTTAATTCTCGACTTTTCCATGTCACGGATCAGAGCCTGCCTTCCAAATCTTTCTATCCATTTTTGAAAGTTTTTATATAGTCATATATCTTTCTATCAATAACATATTAATATTATACATGAAATCAAAGTTCAAACACTGTGGTTACATAAAAAATGAATAACCTGAAACCTGTCTGTATAGTACAGACAACATCAAGAAAGTTAACGGTCTATCTGTCTCTCATGCAGCGTTGAGAATGATCTTAGAAATACATCCCATGTTTTATATAATGCTTTACAATGAAATAACATTCACTGCTTTTTTTAATCATTTAACCTCTCTACAACAGGATCATCATGTACTGCTTCACACACTAGTTAGAATGGGGAGCACTATCGGTGTGTAAGTTTCAACAGAACAAGTAGAGTTTGATTTCATGCTTACAAGTAGTAAGAAATAAGAAAAAAATGTTTTGGCTTTGGATCCTTCTTAAGGTGTGTGAGGTAATGAGGGAGAGAGTAGGGACTTGAGGTTAATGGGTGGAAAATGGCAAAAGAAAGAGGACGTGAGAAAGGGATGGGTTAAAAAAAGGAGGCTGAAGAGATGAAAATCTGAGAGATAAATTACAGGGATGTGTGGAAGGCAGAAGACTCAAGAAAAAATAGTCTCTATTAAAGGAACAGGTGCAAACCTTATTTTCAATGATGAGTTTCAATGATCAACTAATTGCCAGTACAGAGGTATTGAAGCAGAAATTAAACTTACTATGAGTGGAGAGGGGATTTCATGAAATTCCCCTCATCTCAAATTCATTTGGTCAGCTTTTGTTTCTTCTTAAAAGGACTTTTAATGCAATCTCAAACAAAAAAGTAACTGCTACGGACCTATGATTTAGAAACACCGTTCCGCGGTACTGAAATTAGTTAAGCAGGAAATAAAAACAACACATTATTTTTCAATGTCTGTGCAAAACAATCAAGTTTGTAAATGCCATCACTTTTTTTTTGCAACATTTACCACATGCACTGCAAAAAAAAAACAGCGCTAGATATTACAATTGCAATGTTTGCAACCTGCAAATTAAACAAGTCCTAATTTTACATTTTAAAAACTTAATTTGAACCTTTACTGCAACATGTTCTAAAAACACACAGAGTACATTTGAACAAGTAATAGGTTTATTCCATGCTGAAAAAAAGAAGAAAGAAAACACAACGTTTCGGCCGTGGAGCCTTCTTCAGGTGTGTGGTGTCTCACACCTGAAGAAGGCTCCAAGGCTGAAACGTTGTGTTTTCTTTCTTCTTTTTTTCAGCATGTAATAAACCTATTACTTGTTCGTTTGCAGCCTACGCATGCTGACGCAGCTACCCACCCGAACTACAGAGTACATTTTATGTTTGACTTTTACATTTTAAGTATCAACTTCTTTGCAGAAGAATGCAAGATTTACCTCCCTCCAAGAGACTGCAATCTGGCTTTGATTATGTGGTCACACAATAAGAAATAATTGAAAATACAACACAAGCTAAGCAAAGGTAAATGCATACTCTCCACTTTTACTTACACCAACTCTTCAGCATTCCATGCATATTGACGTGGCTGAATCTATAGAGAAATGTTAGCACATTTAAGTACTTAATTTAAACAAATATACATGAATTCAAAAGAATAAATACAGACTACCTCTGTGTTCTTATACTATATCCATTTATATGCTTGAAAAATACAGCTTTTACAAAGTACTATTTTTTTCTATATTCAGTTACACCTGCTGCAATTTCAGCAGCACAGCAGTTTCCAGCTGGCAACAACAAGCAAAATGCATCCAAGGAAGGCTTCAGTTGAAGGGCGTAGTGGTACAGAACAAAGCCATAGGGCATCTAGTGACAAGTGAGCTTAGTTTTACATAATGCTGAGCTGTACAGTTTTTAAACACAGTTCTGTTCTTTGCATCAATCTGATAATTATATTCAAAGTCCTAAACACTTTGTTATACAATAAGAGGGTATTTTTACAATTCAAATTTTGTTTCAAGTGTGAACTTTGAAGTATATGATTTCAGGACACCCATAGCAATCCAATTCTATCAACATTTTCAAGAAGTCACCAGCTACAAGCCTATGACTGTCATATATTATTCTTCATTTTACATCAGTGAAAAACCTTATGTGAATGGCTGTTTGTTGCATCAACAGAGCACTCTCAAATTTTGTAATGTGATCAGAATACGATCTTGAAAAGGATTCACCTCATAGATAACACCGATATGTGAGATTCTCTCTGTTGTGTCAGTACACAAGCCATTGACAGAGCTTCAATACAATTTGACAAGTGTAGATAAATAATTTATAGGAACTGAATAGAATCCTCTACGAACATTTCGTTCTTATGGTTGTCTTAAACGTTATTTCTGCCATTCCTGAAGTACACTGTCATCGACACTGTTGTGTATTAAATATATGCTTGAGGCTGTAAATGTGATAGATGTGCAAGGTCATCCTTGAACTCTGGATCAGCCTGGAAAGTAAAGTGCAGAAAGAAATGAAACATACACACTTTTATTGCAGAAGAATAATGAAAGATGAACCTGGCATTAAGCTTGTCAGATAAATTACAAAGAAAATTGAAAATCTTATGGCTAACTCAACTTGTTCCTAATGTTTCCTATAATACAACCTGCAAGGACCACTGTTCTTTGTCTAATGTTGTAGCAAGCATTAAGTGACATGGAAGGACACATTTGGCCTTTTAGATTACATTATACATACACGTATGTATGTAAACAATACCATTTTAACACTATCCAAGATTTATATTATCCTTGGAGTCTGTGCAATATGTGGAAAATGAGTTATGGAAAAATCTCAATGGTCACATAAAATGTGATTGGAATATTAGATAAAGGAACATCTTGCATATTCATTAAGGTATAC